CCTTGCCGTCTTCCTTCCCCTCCTCGCCCAAAGGAACTTCACCCGTGCTCTTTGTGGGATCGATTTTGGCCTCCTCCCTCTTCACGACCTCTGAGGCATCAGGCTTCTCAGAATCTTTTAAAGACCAAGCTTCCTCAGAAGGCGGCAAAGCGGTTCTTGAGACCTCAGCCTTGGGCTGCTCAGCGCTAGCACCATTGCCACCAAGGGCTGGTGGATCCATCGGTGCAGGTGGAAATTCTTCAGGAAGTTGACTGTCTTCCAAGTCCAAACCCCCAGGATATGCCAACTCACCTGACAGTGATTGACCGTTTTCATCGATCCAACAATTGTTAACGTGCAGTCTGAGTCTATGAGATTGCGCAGTATGCAGTATATATCTCACCTTTCAACATGCAACCACTTTCCAAAGCCCTACCTTGCTCACTGGCAGCAGCAGACAACTGACCCGCCAAACACTTTCGGACGGTCTCATCACCATCACCCTCCTCATCCGACTCCAGCAAGTCAATGGGCTCCGAGGAATTCAGAATAGATTTCGCAATAGGGGAGGCATCATAGGCTTGAGTTTCATCAGCGTCTGCTCCCAAATTTGCGCTGCTCTTCTTTCTCTCCAGAAGCTTCCTCAAATGGTCCACATATCATGCTGATTTCCCATGACATCTAAGCAAAAGGAAAAAGAAAGTACAAAAACAGTTCAAAAATTCCAGAGTAACAGCTTGAGAATCTTTAGCATCTGGATTTTCTCTTCCACTTCCCCCTTGGTCAAGTCGGAATATTCCTTGATGGCCTTTGCAGGCATGGACTTGGGCTTGAGGGCCACTTGTGAAGGCTGCGCGCCCGCCACTCTCAAAGCTGAACCCTGCTCTGTTCCCTCCTCCACAGCCTTCTCCTCAGACTTCACAGCAATTGACTGATGTGGCACCGGCTCAGCAAAGAGGTTCTCCTTTGGGGGTTCCTCCATGAGCTGTGTCAAAGAAGCAGCATCTTGCTGCGTCATAGTCACAGTGGCCAACTCAGGCAACAGCCCAGCAGGGTCCCATGAACTCTCCACCTTCACGAGCTGAGAATTTTCAATCTGCGACTCAGAAACTGCATCCGTAGACTCTGTTTGCACAGGCTCTGCAAGACTCTGAGTCTTGATAGGGCTGCAGAGGTAAGGATCAACTTTGATCGATACCATGGATTCGTTCAAGTCCTCCTCCACATCTGAATCCTGGATATCGATGACATCACATGAAGGAGTCTGGCGGAGACGCACGTTCCACCATTGAAACAGCTCCTCGTAGAAGATGTTGGCTCCAACATCCTGATGATATCGCAGGATGTTTGAATTACGATGCATTAATAATTACAGTAAGTGATCATGCTTGCACATAATCAAACATCCAGTAAAACAAATGATAAGTCAAAGCCTGTTTATGCACACACAAGGCACTTTGCGGATAGGTGAACCATTGGCATCCTTGTCAAACCCAGACTTTCTGCAGCCATATGTGAACAACTTCTTCAGGGCCCAAGCATCTGCGTGAACCAAGCCCACAGTGTTTGGTATCATAGTAAGTGCTCTGAGTGCGGAAACCTGTCAGGAGTTCTGACCAGTAGTAGTATAGCCTTAAAAAACAACAAGTCAGGATAGCGGGATAGCATTTGTTTTTTGGGGTTCAAACTTTTGAACAATATCCAGGGTCCCTTTTCTAAACAATTTCAGCACCCCACCTCACGCTTCAACGCTCGGACTGAAGGTGACTTCGGAGACCCTTGTTGAGGACACCACCATTTAGCCAAGACTTGCAAAGGATAAGAGTTCAAAGCAATGGCGGCCATGTTTGGATGACCAATGAGTTCCGGCTTCGGCCAAATCACTAAAGCACCCTCTTGCCTCAAACGGTTCCGAATGTGTCGGTTCTCCTCCCACATCTTAGCCAAGGTAGACTCAGCTGCATCTCCAGTCAGCGGTGCTGGGCTTGCGGAAGTCATCGATGCAGCTTTCTCCATGAGATAGGCTACAAAATGAAAAACCAGTGCTTGATAAATGTTTGCACCAAACGGAGGTTTCAAGTTGAAGATTCTTTCAATCAGACTTCCTGCTCCAAAGCACTCTTAGATCGAAGTTTTGGTATAGACCAGCTATCGATGTCGACCTATTTTCAATTTGAAGATCGACTTGAAGGGCAAAAGCCAACAAGCCGGAAGCACCTGGAGGACATAGCACCACGGAAAAGGAAACGCTGACCGCCTGCCTGTTTGGAGAGGGTTGGCAGGGTTGGGGAGGTGAACTTCTGATGCAAAGTCCGCCAATTGAAACAAATCATGTTTTTTTTAAATTAGAGTTGAGCTTAAGTCAGCACCAAAAGTTCTCATGTGCGCCTCGGCCAGGGTTCATTGTCTCAGGGGCCATTGCTGAGATCGATCCAGCTGTTGGTCAATTGACCATCAGTCATGCACATGTTCTGCGTGGTCACTGAGGGGGATGCAAAGTATTCCTCCATTATAGAGTAGCAACCCCTGTTACATGCGAATGCTTTCCAAGAGCATCATGTTTGGTCCAGAATGGGCTCAAAATCAAGTTCAGCCCCTCGGATTTGGTTTCAGCCCCTCCAAGATGAGAGGCTTTTTCTTTATCAAGTACTAAAATTATACGTGCCTTGGGTGACCTAGGAATATAAATGTTCAACCCAGTGTGGCAGTTGTGGGTATGGACGAGATGCAAATTTAATGCGGGTTCAAGTTTGGGACTTTCATATAAATTTATACATTACAGATAGATACAAAGAATTAATAGATATATATATATATATTTACATCAAAATATTGAATCGATATGAATTGCCATGTCAATTTAAATTACTATTAATGTTACGGATTGGGGTCTGGGGTATGATCGGGCAAAAACACGCGGATTTCTGAAGCAAAATGGAATTATTTCCTACATTTTCGCCTTTTCATTTTTAGTCTTGGCTCCTTCATAATGGGTCTACGGCTTCCGTCGCGGTCCGGACCCCCCCCCCCAAATAATTGGATTATTTTATAAGACGACGGGTATTCCTCGGAATGCGCATGCAAAACATCTCGAGCCAACAGATGAGATGCCAGACATTGCGCACGAGCCTGACGGTGATGACGATGACTTCGATCCTTCAGAGCAGAACTTCAACGGTGGGATATCCGCAGACGCCCGATGAATCGGTCCTCAACCTCGTTAAATAATCCATGGCTTGGAAGGCGGCCAATCACAACGGCTGGCGTCCCTTCAATGCTTTAGGCTTTTCAGGAGCTCGGACTACATGGCAACGATCAGCCGGGAAAATTTAACAAAATGGTCAAGAGCAATTGCAGGAAAACCCATATATTTGTTTCCGGATCAGGGCCTCAATATGAAGGTGTTGCTGGACAGGATCGGCGAACTTTGGGTGGATGGCGGCTTTGGCTCTCGAGACCAATTCTTGAAAATCTATAGACCAATGCCTCGATTATCTGCAGTGAGTGGCTGTCCGCATTTTCTGGCAATTCTGGCGCAACGCTCTGCGATCTGTGGCACTGACCTGTGTCCTGCTTGCCATCCGCCACAAAGGCTGCTGCAAGTGACAAGGAACTTGCAGAAAATGATCGATGAGATTTGCAACAGAACCGGGCGGCAGCGAGTGCCGCTGTCGTGGCCGGTCACAGAGAATGTGCTCTGTTATTGCATGAAAATTATTGATGTGATGAATGGAAGCCAGATCCATGTTCCCTATTGACGGCTAAGAAGGAAAACAAGGTCCGTGGTTTGTCGGTATCTCAATTTGTTCATTTGTTAATCTATCGGTTTCGAATTTTGAGGATCGCATTTTTCCGTTGTTGGAAACAACGGGCCGACCCTAATTCTCTATATTTTAATATCAATATTTATATTTATATAAAATATAAATATGATTAATATAATATATGAAAATTATTCAATATATATATATCTAAATGAATATATTAATTAAAAATCTTCTAGAAGAATGACGAATTGAAATTTAAAATGACGTATATTTAACGATGCAAATCCCCAATTCAAACGAAAATTTTCGAAATAGGGGGAGGATTCCTATCGACATATTAATTATATTTAAAAATTTACGCCCGACAACCGGCCAGGGGCCCAAAACACGGGAAGGGGGAAGAACAAAGAAAGTGAGAGGAAGGAATATTGTTGATGTCGTTGTTGTTGTTGTTGTTGTTATGGTGGTGGTTGTTGTGGTGGTTTTTGTTGTTGTTGTCGTCGT